AAGGTGTTTTTAAGGGCCATTATTTTTCAGAAAAGTGACTGTATAAAGCAAATAATTCCCTACCCAGCAGTTCAACTGCCTGTGTGCGTTTGGAGTCCTAGTTGTGTATTCCAGTTCTGAAAGCAACCAGAGCAGAACTGACCCGGCTCTGGGAAGCAGCGAGATTCTGAGGGGATTTATGAGTTTCAGTCCACTCTTTGACTCACCCTGTAGTCTTAGACAAGTCACTTCACGTCTCTGTACTTTCAAATCCCCCTTCCATGAGTGTCGTGAGGGTGAATTTGTTAACCAAAGCAGCATGTAGACATAATGGAAAGTGCTATCTGTGATTGTTCCGAGTGATTTGATTCTCTCATGAGTCCGATATCCGCACTAGGGTGATTAATTAGGCTCCGGTTAGGGATGCATCAGTTAAACCGTAAGTATAACCCTATCCAGGTGATGGTTACCAGTTAACCGGCAGCTCAGCTGGGCCCACCACACAAAGAGCTGGGTTCCAACCCAGCCGGGCCTGCCGGCCTGTGATGCAGTATGGCACCATGGGCCCAGCATGACGGGAACAGCCCCTACCTGCAGCATGGTACAACAGGCTTGCCCTGGTCCAAGCAGCCCCCACCTGAAGAAGGATCGACCTGTCCAGAACAGCCCGTGGTGCGGCAGGCCCAGAGCAGTGCCCCCCCCACCCATGGGATCTGGTTAACTGGTTAAATGTAATGTTTAACTGGTTACCTGAATAAATGGGATTTGACATCCCTAGCTCCGGTTGCAGAATATTTATTACAGGTGTTGAACTAGAACAGCGGTTTCCAACCTTTTCCAGATGGGGACCCATTTTGACAATTCGGGAAGACTCGGTGACCCAGGGCAATTAAAAAGATGTGAGAGTGGCTCCTTAAGAGCCAGCTGGGGAGACACCTGGTGACCCTTTTGAAATGTAATAGTGACCCATAGGTTGGGAAACCTCGATCTAGAAGAAGGAAAGGACCCAGCTCAATTCTCCGATTCCAGGTTGTGTCTGTGGAGTGGATGGTTATGAAGAAGTTTTTTTTAAACAAGATGTGCAAACTGTGTCTTGGATCCATGAGAGCAGTAAACAAGGACTACCTCCATGCCGCTTTTACATCACTTTTCAGACTATAACAACACTTTAAATAAAGTTGTCTCTTATTGGCTATATCTAGACTACATCCCTCTGTCAGCAGAGGGATGTAAATGAAGCACTTTGAAAGTGCAAATGAAGCTGGGATTTAAATATTCTGTGCTTCATTTGCGTAATCACGTAATGGCGCTCTTTCGAAAAAGCGCTCTTTCGAAATTGAAGCCGCAGTCCAGATGCGGTTCTTTCAAAAATGGGGCACTTTTTCGAAAGATGCTGTAAACTTCATTTTTTGAGGTTTATAGGATCTCTCGAAAAAGCGCTCCGTTTTCGAAATAAGACAAGGGCAGAGGGAGGTAAATGACATTTAATCGAGGATTGTCAAAGAGCTTCTTACATAAGATTTGTTGTCCTTATATTTTCTATTAGGATTCACTACAGCATTTTCTACTGCTTGTATTTGATGGAAAACTCTTGCCCTGTTACGCAGACAAGCAAGCTGGAAACAGTCGGTTCAAACAGCAGAGGACGCGCTTGGCCCAGGTAGTGCTCATGTATTTTGTTGAAATGAGAGGGCCAAATGCACAGATCCCTGTAAAGTCCTGGAGCGAACACTGCACAGAAAGGGTTAGTTTAGAGTCCTCCCGCTAGCGTCAGAATAGCTTCTTTGTCTCACTGGAGTTTCATCTTCAACAGTGGGAAAGCAGAATCAAACCCACAAGCTATAAACATCCAAAGTATTTTCCTTTTTTATTAAAATGAGGGGGTTTTACTCATTCAAATGGCCACAGCTGGTAAGAAGCCTCAGTTAAACACAGTCATCTGCATGCAGCGTGACTACTGCTGGTTAAAAAGACTGTTCTCCTCCTAAGTGTCCGTAGGGCAGATTCCTGCCCCCTGCCTGGGAATGGTTTTGGGCAGAAGAGACTATGGCTGGTCTAATTTAAGCTTGATGGTCCGCTGGGAAAAGTGTGTATGGTGCCTAGCACAGTGGGGCCTCAATGCCTTTGTACTGCTGCTGCAAAGGAAAGAATTTTAATAAATGCCTGTTTATTATCATCATCTCCTTATTTAAGAGAGGCAGTGAGGCAAATCAGCCACCAAGCATTTGCTGGTATATCTCTTGCCCATGCAAACTCCATCCTGTCATCTGTATTGATCCAGGCACCAAACATTTGCTGGTATATCTCTTGCCCTTGCAAACTCCATCCTGTCATCTGTATTGATGCAAGTCGCTGAATGCTTGTTACTTAAAGGAAAGACTGTCCAGTGGTTCGCGCACAAGCCCGGGCCTTTGGGAAATCAGGTTCAATTACTGTTCTGCCACAGACTTCCCGTGCAACCTTGGGCAAGTCACTTAGCCGCTGTATGCCTCAGTTCCTCATCTGTAAAATGGGGGGAGGGATGATGGGAAATAGCATAGATTCTCTGAGCATGTGGGGTTCAACCCTTTTTCATTTGTTTCACAGCCCTTCATTCAATTTCATCACCCAGAAATCTTAGTTTAACTATGGCTCTTTCCCATCGCTATATGTTCCTCGTCGGTTGTGTTTTTTAACCCAGAAGAATAATTGCTTTGCTCTTACTTTATATTTAGCAATACGCTTGATATAAAACTCACCCATGAACAGCAAAGGATCCTAAACCATGCCATCTTGCCTGGTCAAATAGTGAAAATTATGGCATTTGCAGGTAAGAAAACAGACTGTGAAACAAGTTGCAGGGAAGCTTTATAAAAAAAAGAATGAGCTTATTAGACAATTAAGTGAACTCCAGTTTTGTTGTGTTTTGTCTTTGCTGGAGTGGAGGTGGTACAAGGAGCAAACATGGCTTACAGCTAACAGAAATAAATCAGGGGGTAGATTTTTGTGTAGAAGTCAAATAATAAACATGTAGGTAGGAAATAAGCCGCTTTTCAGAATATTTGTACGTAACTCCAGCTTCTCAGAAAAGCAGAATAAAAGAGGGAGTCTTGTAATGGCACAGAAAAGAAATTATGGCCAGTAAATTATTAAAGGAAATCCTTTTTTGGCCTAGCTCTTAGGAGCAGTATTACGATAGTCAGAGAGTTAGCTGTGGTACACTGTTTCACACACACACACAAAAAAACAGAGTCAGGTGGCACCGGCTTCCTTGTAGTATTACAGTAGCACCATAGAAGTTTTGGATTAGGGCTCCCTTGTGCTCAGCACCATAGAAACAGGTAAACAAGGCAGCCCCTGCCCTGGAGACCACACAGACCAGGATACTATGATGCAACACCTAGAAATAAGAGAAAGGAAGCGGGGGAGGGTGAAATGCACACGTTGCAAATCGTGAAAGATTATGTCCCAAGGTCGCCCCCTGGAGGTGAGAGCGGGCATTCTGCTTACTTCGTCCATGTTCTCTATCCTGATGGAAACGTGTGGTCCGGATCTGGGCACAGTCCTCCAGCTCTGCCTTTTAGCGAATCCATCCCTTTTGGTGGAGTAGGAAGCAGGCCCAACACCAGGAAAATACTTCCATAGCTCTTTCCGCGAGGGAGGCCCTGCTGTCAGCCCCATCGGCAGTCCAGGCTCTCACTTGGTCAGGAACAGGGCTTACATAGCGAAGAACAGACCGGCCCATCTTCCTCCAAGGGCCCAGGCCCTCGCAGCATTTACAGGGTCCCAGTCTGAGTGCCACAGGGTCCCAGTCTGGGTGCCCTGGGAGCCTAACAAGTCACGAGTTCAGTCTGTTTGCGACCACAGGAGCTCCTTGGCCCCTGACTGGCTGGTAGGGATGTCACCTGCTCCCCACGCCCACACAAGACCGAAAATTCAGCGTGCCCCCTGTCTAGACAACTGGTACAATTCATTGCCCCAGAATGTCCTCCTGTCAGGTTAGTAGGAGTGTTTAAAAAGTGCAGTGTGTTTTTGTGACTGTTCATAACATTTGCGGCTACAGGTTGAGATTTCCAAAGCTGACTTAGCCACGCAGCCCCATTAATTTCAGTGGAGGATGTTAGAGAAAAAACAGGTGACCCAGGAGTGGATGGGGTAAAAGGAACTGCTTTATTGCCTACGTTTGCCTTGGATATTCAACATAATGTCCGAGTGACCCCAAATTGTTAATAGTCAGAATCTTTTATCTATTTTAGTATGTTCATTCACACGTCTATCACTACTTTTCCTAAAACCTTATTTAGTAATGTTAACTCCCATGAAATGAATATTAATAAGCAAATAATGAATACAATTATACCGGCCCCTAATTACTATTTATATAATTTCTAATTGAATCAACACTTTTATACTACAAACTAACAGGTTACAGAGATTACAAGGAATCTGACCCTGAAGATATATTATGCAGAGCCAAGGAGGATAAGCAAGAGACATAACAAAATAGAGCAACTCCATACTTACCTGGTTTCCTAGGCTACAGAACAGAGAGAGAGAGCAAGTTTATACATCAAGGATAATTCTGGTCTCAACCAGACCCTATCTTCCCAAACTACAAAATCAAAAGGAAAAAGCATGTTTAAGGGTAATGTCATGGCTGACCCCTGAGCCACTATGCAAAAGGCCATTTGAAACCTATTAATTTTTACGCACCCCAACAGAGATTGGTTGGCTAAATGCTTCCGTTGGCTTTGAAAATCTTACCCACATTGCACAGCGTGGGCTAATAATGAAGGGGAGATGAGGAGAGTGGCTGAGGATTCTGATGCAAGAGCCTCTTTCTTTCCTTTGCTCTTCAGGGACGGGGAAGACCTCGACTTTGATCAAATATGCAGAGAAGTTTCCCCATCTCAGCTTTCTGTATGTGGCATTTAACAAGGCCATCGTCGATAATGGGAAGAGCATCTTCCCCTGTAACGTCACCTGCAGGACTTTCCATTCGTTGGCGTACACGAGTGTCGGCAAACAGTACGTAACCATCTTCTCATTTCCCTGGGTATGAACTGCTGTTCGGACTCTCAGCATGCAGGCCACCAGACAGTGCCTTCCTCTCAGATCAGCAGAGACCGAGAGCTGAATTAGCCTCTGATCTGTAGGATGATTCTTCCATATCATCTGAGAGCAGCGTACGGGGGAAGTTTGCACTCTTGCCACTTCTGCAGGGCACTAAATTGGCATAGAAATCTTTACTTCACCCCTTTTCAATGTTTTAAAAAAATGACAACATGCATCTTGCAGGGAATTTTGCAGAACATCCTATTTGAATTATATTTTTGCTTATATGTATCTCTTTGTGTATTTCTTTTTTTTCATTTTTGGGGGGGTTTAAAAGAAAAAAAATCCCCTTTCTTTGTGAGGTGTAAAGAAGACCTAGGAGGTTTTTTTTTGTTTTTGTCTTTACTTGGGTTTTTTACACTAGAAATTTAGGTCTAATCTTCCCAGTTTCCTCTGGAATGAGCGTACGGATGACTTGGATTGCTGGTAGTATTAACACTCTAGAGAAACCACATAATCAGACATCCTTATGTCCCTTTGGGTGTGTCTAAACTACATGGCTCTGTTGACAGAGCCATGTAGATTAGGCAGGACCGCAAAGGGAAATGAAGCGGCGATTTAAATAATCGCCGCATCATTTAAATAAAAATGGCCGCCGTGCTGTGCCGATCCGCTGATTGTCGGCACAGCGCGGCAGTCTAGACGGGGATCTGCTGACCCCAGAACCCTTCGTCAGCAGAACCCCGTCTAGACTGCTTACAAGTTCTGGGGTCAGCAGATCCCCATCTTGACTGCCGCACTGTGCCGTCAGTCAGCTGATCGGCACAGCGTGGCGGCCATTTTGATTTAAATGAAGCGGCGATTATTTAAATCGCCGCTTCATTTCCCTTTGCCGACTAAACTAATCTACATGGCTCCATCGACGGAGCCATGTATTTTAGATGTACCCTTTGAGCACATCCTCAATGTCAAACGTGCTTTCCTGAATTGGCTTTGGAGGCCTTGTCTATTCGCAGTTTCACCAGTTTAGAATCTTACTGTTAAACTGATTTAGTTAAACCAGTGCAGAGCTCTGTGTGGACACACTCTTAATGCTGTTTAAATCTAGTTTTATTTTGAGCCCACAGTTTTACACTGGTTTAACTAAATCCGCTTTAAACTAGTTTAAAGATAAATGAGAGCAATTTGGAATACAGACAAGGCCTGAGATGGGGGAGAATTTTTTTTTTAGTTTTTCAAGTTTTTGTTTAACTTAAAGGTCTCAGTAAACAATTGGAAATAACCCCCCTTTTGCTAAAGATTCAGCATCTGCCACTCCTTCAGTTAAGACTGTGAGGATGCCAAACTGAAGTATCTAAGTTGGGGCAGGCAATAATTTTTAGTGGGGAGGGAGGGCACTCCAAGATTTTGGTAAGTGGTTGAGGGCCGCACTTTTCTATGGAAGGGGTGTGAGGACTAGGACAGAGGTTGGGTGCAGAAGGGAGCTTGGGGGAACTGGGGTGCAGGAGGAGGTGTGAGGTCTGTGAGCGAGTTTGGATGAAGGCGGGGATTGTGATCTGGGGCAGGGGATTGGGGTGCAGGGTCAAGGAAGGAGAATGGGTACAGGAGAGATTCTGACCTATGGGTGTAGGAGGGGATCATAGAATACTAGAACTGGAAGGGACCTCGAGAGGTCACCGAGTCCAGTCCCCGGTCCTCATGGCAGGACCCTGAGAGACATTTATCTAACCTGCTCTTAAATATCTCCAGCGATGGGGATTCCACAACCTCCCTGGGCAATTTATTCCAGTGTTTCACCACCCTGACAGTTAGGAACTTTTTCCTACTGTCCAACCTAAACCTTTCTTGCTGCAGTTTAAGCCCATTGCTTCTTGTCCTATCCTCAGAGGCCAAGGAGAACAATGTTTCTCCCTCCTCCTCGTGATACCCTTTTAGATACTTACGCAGGGTCTGGGAGGGAATTGTGACCTGGGGTTGAGAGGCTGTAGAGGGTTTTGGTGGTGGCCTGAGGCAGGGAGTTGGAGTATAGGAGGGGTTGGGTGTCAGAGGCAGGATCTGGTCAGGAAGCACTTTCCTAGGCAGCTGCCGGCCAGCAGCCCTGCAGGATCCCAAGGAGAGCTCCCTGCCTGCCTCAGCCCCAGGCTGCTCCCTATGGCTCTCTGCTCCAGGTGCTGGGGGAGGCTTCGCCCTCTGTTCCTGCTCCCAGCATAATTTCTCACCTCCCATTGGCTGGAAACTGAGTGGTGGGGGAGGGAGCAGCGTGCAGAGCCTCTCCCTCCCGGCGCCCGAATCAGAGCCACAGGGAGCAGCCAGTCATTTAATGCAGCATGGGGATGCTCTGTGGCTGAGACTCCCAGCAGGAAAGTCCACGGGCTGCATCTGGCCCGTTCAAGAAATAGGTCCTCCATAAAGATCTTCAGCAAAACATGGAAGATGAGAATTGAAATCCAGGGTATTTCTAAGGATAAAAAATGTGTGTGTGGTGGGGGTGGACGAGCCCTTCTTCTGAAATAACCTTTCAGGACTTTTTAGAGATCATAAAAGCTCAGACAAGGCTGAGTTTTTAGCCCCGTACATGTCACAGGTTGCAACCAGCAGTTTTTGAATCCTTTCATCCAAGAGGACCCAGAAGTGATGGTGCTAGCCTGAGATTCCAGAAATGTGGGCTAAGTAACCCTGGGCAAGTCACTTAGCTGCTCTGTGCCTCAGTTTCCTCCTCTATAAAACAATAGAACTTCCCGACATCATAGGAATGTTGGGAGGGTGTAGCTACATTAAGGATTGGGAGGTTTGCAGACACTATGGTAATGTGGGAGAGCCAGATAGCCCCTTTGTTAAGGATTGGGTCGTTTGCAGACACTGTGGTAATGTGGGAGAGCCAGATAGCCCCTTTGAGTGTTAGTAATAGAACAAAGGGGTATATCGCTTCTCTGGTGGGTTTTCTTGCAAACTAATAATGTGTTTTGGTTTTTTTTTGTCCATGGCACAGCTATAAAGAAAAAGGAAAACTGAATTTTTCCAAACTGTCTCCCTACATGATCAGCTTCCTACTGAAACACCGCCAGGGGCAGTCTCTCTTCGTAAGAGCAAAGACAGTAGCTCAGACACTTGAAAGCTTTTTTGCTTCTTCAGATGAATTGATATCGGTGGAGCACACCCCCATATGGTGCAAAAACACACACGGAATGAGGGTCTTAGTCTCTGAAGAGGAGAAGAAAGTGAGTATTGAGGGAGAGGTGAGAGTTCAGCTGGGCCGGAGTGGAACATGCCTCAATGCAAACTCCAGTGATTTAGTGGTGCTTATGATTCAGTAGTCAGATATAACCAATCCAATGCATTTCTCCTTGTTTCCCCTGGGTTGGTGTGTGAAAAAGGAATGTGTCTTCCAGTGTAATCCCCTAGCAGCAGGTGAGATCCGAAACTCATCGCTGCTCTGATCCAAAATCTTTTAAAGTTACCGGAAAATGTTTTCAGTGGCTTTTAGCCTGCCCTCAGTATCAATCCCATATGTACATCTTAGGAGCAGAGGGAGAAACTTGAGAGCCCAAGGTTTCTGTTAATACTTGGAAGGCATTTCAGTACTTCAGTGTTGACAGTGGTATAAAAATAACTGGACGGATATAAGAGGATCGGTACTGGCACAAGAGTACAGTTCATTTCCTATGTCTCATAAGTAGCAGTATGGCTAAACAAAACGTTGACAGTAGCTAGCTGTTTGACTGGTTTTTTAAATTTTAGTTTTGTGTTTTAATTCGCCCATACACTGCTGTTAAAATCATTTCATTTTAACATTTAGGAAGAGTCTAGAACAGGTTTATCTTTAAGCAGGGTGGGTTTGGGGTTTTTATTTTGGCTTTTAATATTTTGGATGCTTATAACAATCACTTAACGTGTTAATTTCTTCAAATAAGTCATTTTTGGGTTCATCAGCCAAGTGCATAGTAGAGATTCATTTTCAGAAGTCAGAACTCTCTCAATTGATGAAGTAAATCCTCACAAAGACTTAAGTGCTTCAATTTATATCCCTCTATAAATGGGGCCTAAAATGAGATGAAGAATCTGTCACAGCTAGATCACCAATTTAAAGCCATCTCAAGTCAGAAATGGCTGACTGAAATTCATTTTGCACAGGCTGCTAAATGGCCGCCTGCTGAGACTGAAGTACTGGATTCAGTCCAGTTCCCAGTGACAAATGGTGGCATAAATATTAAATTAGCTGAAATATCCAAGCCCAAAAAGCTAAAAGGTGCCAACATGACTCTGTCACTGTCAACATAAATCATGTTGAACAAGGTTTGAAGTTTACAGACACACAAACACTCCGTGTGGCAAGCACACAAAGAGCTGGTCTATGCTACAAAACTGGGTTAGTTTATCTACATTGTTCAGGCCTATGAAAAAATGTCATGCTCTGTGCAATTGTAATGAAGCCGAACTAAGTCCCGGTGTAGACATTTCTGGGTTGGTGGAAGAACTTTTTCCTTTCCTTACCAGAATTGGGCAAGACAGCTTCCATGGGCCAGATCCAGCCTGCCAAGTTGGTTGATCCATCCCATGGCCACTCTGCCACACCCCACCCCCAGCCAATTGAGACCTGGGCACAGGAAAGTGTGCGAGGTTTTCTCCTCCACCAGGGGTGTGCGTGCAGCATCCTAGAGTGAACAGTTTAAAACAGCTGGCAGTTCACTCTAGGTGCCGCGCACTCCTTGCAAGACGGGGGAAGGGGGCGAGAGACTTCATGCGTTCCCCTACCCCCACCGCCAGGGGCGCACGGCACCTAGAGGGAACCACCAGCTGTTCAGCTGGAGGTTCTCTCTAGGTGCTGGGGGAGGGTAGCAGAGGCAAAAACTTCACATGCTTCCCCATCCCCAGACTAATCAGGGTCTGTGGGCAGGGAAGCACGGGAAGCCTGGCCCCGCCCCTTCCACCTGAGGCCCTGCCCCTTCCACCTGAGGCCCCGCCCCTTCCAGGGTGGCCTGGGGCCACTTCAAAAATTTGTGAAGTCACCCCCCACTTCTAAAATTGCCCATCCCTGCTATAGTCTCTTGAAGAGATGTATTTACTGTAGCAACAGTAGAGCCCCTTCCTTCAGTGTAATGTCTATGCTACTCTAGTTTTCCTAATGTAGATTATGCTAAAATTTAAGACTCTGTTAACTAAAATACAGGTGGTGGAAGAAAAAGCTAAGACAAGTAACAAAGAAGTTTAAAATTGAAATTTCAATGATTATAGGAGACAAATGCAATCAGCACACACTGAAACATCCTTTTCAAGAAAGACCATCAGGTAGAGTCCCTTAATTTGTTGGAGAACCCGTCTTAGTGGGGAGCAAAGGCCTAGCTGAGTTGCTCAGGTTAGAGATGTGAAGGCTGGTTACTTTTCCTGCTTGTGACAAACAGACGCAAAGGAAGAAAAAGACAGGATAGCGAAGGTGGAAGAAAACCGGCTTTTGTTGATGATCTTGGCATTCCAGGCAGCAAATCGCTCACAGGCAGATGCTCTGGGTTGGCAGGTTAACCACAAAAGCGGCTCACTGACCTCTGGTTCTTTTCCCAGTCTGGAGTCCGAGATGTCATCTGGCTGGTCTGGTTCTTCTTTTGTGCCATCTTCTCTCAGGCTAGGCGGGGGGGAGCTGTCTCATCTTGTTTTGGTGCCTTGTGGTACAGTTGGCTTCGGGATCAGAGCATGGGAGGGGCTGTCTCATCTTGTTTTGGTGCCTCGTGGTACAGTTGGCTTCGGGATCAGAGCAGACGGAAAGCCAAGAGAGAGAGAGAACAAGAGGAAAAACAGTGGAGTAGAGAGGAAAACCCAAAGGAAGGAGAAGTAAAGCAGGGCAGGGCCTATCTCTGCTGGCTTAACCTGATGGCCTTCCCCAGTCATGTGTATAAAAATAGATTTTTTTTTGGCAGACATGGCATTATGCTGCATTTACTTCCAAGTACAAAATATTAAAAATTAGCATATGCATGCCTTTTTTCCTGCCCCCCCCCCCCCCTCTCTCTCTCAAGGTTAGTGTTATAGTTTCTAGTATTTATGGTTGCTTGACTGAGCACGTGTGGAGGAGCTGGGCCTTAGCTGGATACAACCGATGCACCGTTGTTGTTGCAGAACGACTCAAAAGCCCTTTCTTTGGCTCCTGCCGCTTTCCTTTTTATAGCAGTTGATTTGTCTGTAAGCTTCTGGACTCTGCTGTGTAATTCTTGGCTCATTACAAGCTGGTTGCTTGTGCAGTTCTTTTTCATGAGCAGTGTTTTGTTTTCACAGCTATCCTTCATTTCCTTACTTTGTTTTATATTCAGGGCAAGTGCCTTTCACACATTTGGATCGTCCATTTGCATCCTCCTTCCTGCCGTTCGGATTTGACGATGATGGTGCTGGCAACTTGTTTCTTGGCTCCCTCTTTTGTAATTTGCTGGCATTAGTTACTCATACTCCAATCATCCGTAGAACAGTACAATAATTTCAAAAGCAAACCTCTACCAGGGCAGAACAATTCTATTAGGACAGAACAAAGCAATCTCCAGGATTCCTAAATCCGTATAAACATTAATGTATAAACTAGCATTAAAACAATTTCATCTAGTAAACTTACAATAAAGGCTAAAACAATTTCTCCCCAAATCCGTTTTACCCTATGCCCCTTCCTGCAGGAATTCTGCCAATGGATTTGCCAGTCCCCCCAAAATCTTTTATTAAGGGCCCTGAAAGAGTGAAATAGCCCATCCTCCCATTTTCCCCACTCTTACCCATTTTGCTCACCTATCAGAACTAACTGCTGACGTGCCAAGTGTAGTTTGTTAATTTCCAGTCTCACACCATTCTTGCTTACCAAGCATGATCTTCACGCAGTCGTTGAGTTATATCAGAATTTCCAGTCTCTCACCATTCTTGCTTACCAAGCGTGATCTTCACGCAGTCGTTGAGTTATATCAGTAGGCCTTTCTGTTTGGATTGATATAGTCTCTCTGGTTTTTGTACCTTTTCTCATCAACATTTGTTATTGGTTATTGTGGTTACCTACGAATTTTCACTCACTTTTTACAACTGAGCTTACTGCTAGGGTAAATTTTTAGGTCCAGTTATCCTGACATTGTCTATACCCCACACACACACAAAAACCCCTTAATCAACCTATACAGCTAGAACTAATGGGCAAACTTACCAGAGAGGCCAAGAGATGAATAGTCATGAAGACAGAATTTCCCATTCACCCTTAGGAGCTAGTGGATTTATTCCCATGCACAACTTTTTGCAGAATTAGGGCCTAAATTTTAGATACGATGGGTGACAAAGAAGAGGATTGGATGAGGAAGAAAAATTGTTACAGCGAAACGGTGGCGTGGTTACTCCTTATTGATACATGCTTATCTTGAGTTTCTGCTTCATAGAATTCTTGGTTTGGGCTATTTAAAAAAAATGAATGGACTTTGTGACAGGGCAGACGTGAGGTTATTAGGAGTGTGTGGATTTGGGGAGGGCGTACCACATACATTAGGAGCACAGTGTTATTTGCCACAAGGACAGTCCACACAGGAAGGAAATGAGGTCAGAGATAGAAGCTAGGAGAAAAGTGGCTACGGTTGTTCATGTTATATGAGAAGCTGAAACCTGATAGGCAAGTCACTAGGGATACCAGAGGCATGATACCGCAATTAGACATTGTGCCAACTATCGGTTTGTCATCTCAATTACAGCAGCATACTTGAGGCCACAGAGTGTGACGTTTTGAGATTGTTTTGTGCATGAAAATCTACCTGGAGTCTTCTGGTGTTACTTTCTAGGTCATTGTTGAAGAAGCAAGACGGATCTGGGACAACATGAAAGCGCTACATGGATATACAGAACTGAATTGTAAAATGACGTGGGATGGTACGTTGGCAGAGACAGTGCAGCGGCTAAAAGAGACGTCAGTTTTAAAAAGCAAAGCTAGTACATAAAACCCTTTAGGACAGATTTATGCAGGTTACACCTAGGGGCTGGCTATTATTGCAGGCAATCAGAGGAAGCAGAAACCTATCTTTTCCCCCAGTTTTATGCTTGGAGCGCCTGTGTTTCTTTGATAGTTGCTGGACTATGGCAGAACTGTAGTTAGTTTCCGCTTTGGTGGTTTGTCTTTCACAACAAGCAAGGGAGAAGGCAACATACAGAAGCAAAAAAAAAAAAAAAGTATAAATCCATAACATCTGTGGTCAGAAATTGCATTTAACTCACTTTAAAACAGGGCTACTCAACTTTGGAGCCACAGTAATACTCACAGCACATGCCAAAGGCCACAACTTAAGCGTGGTTGCGTATACGTGCAAATATATGCAAATAGCTTCTTTCACACTGACGGGCATGAATACAAAGGTTAAGGCAAGACTACACAACACGCAGGCCCTATTTAATATTAATAAAATGCAATAGTTACCCTATTTCCATCTATATGACAGCACTTTTAATGAGCAATGACTGTCCAGGAATTTAAAACTAAATTTAATGCTAAAACGCATAGCAATAGAAGACCATTATGTTGATTACTTTTTTGCTTTCGTTCCCACCAGCCGGCTGCATATTGAGCCCTACGTAAACCCAAACTGCACCGCTGGCTACAAACAAACGGGCCACGGGCCACATGCTGAGTAGCCCTGCTTTAAAAGCTAACTGGATTTCAGGTGGATGGTGTCTTGTGAAACAGAAAGTCATTTGCCCTGCGTTGTGACTTTCACATCTGAATTACCTGACAGTCCAATCTTCCTTCCAGGTTACTTGAAGCTTTGGCAGCTTAGCAAGCCACGCCTCTTTGAATATGATGCCATATTTGTGGATGAAGCCCAAGATTGTACCCCAGGTGAGTAAGGCAGGAGACCATCTGAACAACGACTTACCTAATTCACACCACTCTTCCCGTACCACTGATAGGGAAATAAAGACACCAGAGGCATTGGTAACTGAGCTAGGAGGAGAACTTGGTTTCTAGCCTGTGCACTGATTATTAGCCCACACATAGAGAATTGGTTGTTTGGGGGTGGAGAGGCAGGAGGAGGGAGAAAGAGGTTTTATGTTTTTCACAAATGCCTGCAATTTCTATGCAGCATGATCATTATTATTTATAAGCAGTGCCTCAAGGCCCCAACTGCCATTATGGTATGTTTACACTGCATGCTTATTTCGGAATAAGCTATTCAGGAAGATATATACCGAAATAGTTTATTTTGAAATAGACCGCCCACACTACAGGGAAGCCTCAAAATTAGTCTGAGTCAGGCTCCCCTGGAAGCGCTGGGGAGCAATTACTTAAAACAGCCCTGGAGAGGAGCTATTTCAAAATAGCAGCAGCGGCGCGTCCACATTGCAGCTATTTCGAAACAGCTATTTCGGAAGAGGAGTTGTTCCTTGTGGAATGAGGTTTACAGAAGTCGTACTAAGCCGCCTGTTATTTCGATATTATTTAGAAATAACAGTGCTGTGTAGATGCACTCCTAGGCTATGTCTACACTCGCGTCTTCTTGCGCGAGTAATATGCAAATGAGGCTAAGCGGTGAATATCGCTGAGCCTCATTTGCATAACTAATGAGCCGCCATTTTTTTCAGAAGAGGCTCTTGTGCAAGAAGGAGCATCTACACTGCCCCTTCTTGTGCAAGAAAAACCTTCTTGCGCCATGCCGTTCTTCCTCTCAAGTAATAGGTGTAACGGCATTGCGCAAGAGGGTTTTTCTTGCGCAAGAAGGGGCAGTGTAGACAGCTCTGTCTTGCGCAAGAGCCTCTTCTGAAAAAAACGGTGGCTCATTAGGTATGCAAATGAGGCTCGGAGATATTCCACGCTTAGCCTCATTTGCATATTACTCCCGCAAGAAGCCGCGAGTGTAGACATACCCCTAGACTCCTGTTGTGTGAGGCCCTGTAGCAACACGTCGGCAGGGGACAGTCCTTGTTCTGAAGAGCTCATTGTCTCTATAGACAATGTCTGAGGGAAAATGAAAGGATTGTTCTCCTTAATATACAATTAGAGAACTAAAATGCAGTGATTGTGATTTTCCCTAAGACTCGCTCTCTGAGTCCACAGGGGAGGTGAGATTTGAATCCAAGTATCCTATGTTATAGTCCACCGTCTTAACCACTAGACCATCAATGTATTCTGAGCATGTCCTGTACGTGGGGAATCAACACGTACATGGGGATTCATTACTACTTTTACTGCTTGCAAAGTGGGTTGTTTTTCGTTTTTGACTGGTGTGTGCATTTAATAACGTGCATTTCTCTTATGCTTAAATTTAATTGAGAAGTGAGTTCTAAAATGCCTACCCTTGTCCATGTCCGGAGTAATTATCCTGATGGTGGTTGTGGTCCTGGAGGTGGCTGGCATGTCCCTCCAGCCCCTGAGAGGGTCAGTACGGGGTCGCCATGTGCTGTCCTTGCCTGCAGACACTGCTCCTGCAGCTCCCATCAATCAGTAATACACCCATGTGAAGTTTATTTCGGTTTTGCGGGCAGGCCCCTTTGTGTGTTGTTCATGCTTCACGTTTTGCCGCAGCCATCATGGACGTTGTGCTGTCCCAGACGTGTGGAATAATCTTTGTAGGAGACCCTCACCAACAGATCTACACCTTCCGAGGTGCTGTCAACGCCCTCTTTGCAGTGCCGCACACCCACATCTTCTTTCTCACGCAGGTAAGACCAGGAAGTGCACATGTGCACTCTAGGACAAACGACCCATCGTTATCTCCAGTCGTACGCTTGCTTTAGTTTAAAATTTTTAAAATGAATGACCACGCTTCTTCCAAGAGCTAGCAGTGAGAAAATATCCCTTGTGATCCAATGTGGATGATTCTTGTTTCTTAAACAGGTGTCACTTCCGGTGTGCTTTTGGTGTGGGGTTTTCTTCTGTTCGCCTGATCTCTGCTTCCTTTGCTCCATCTTGCAGAGTTTCAGATTTGGCCCTGAAATAGCTTATGTTGGAGCTACCATCTTGGATGTCTGCAAGAAAATCCGGAATAAGATGTTAGTGGGTGGAAATCAAGAGGGTAAGAAATTAAATGGTGTTTGTATAGCTCCGAACACAATGCATTCCTAATCCAACACCAGCTGTTGCTGCTGCTACTACTACTCTATGCACTTTAAAAAAAAATCATACTTGCTTTTCTTCATGCGTTGGTTTACTGGGCATTTTCTCCATCTCCCAGGTGATATCAGAGGTGACGTGAATGGGAAGACTGCTTTCTTATCACGGGGCAATTTGAATGTGTTTGAGAATGCAGTGACAGCTACTGGAGGAGAGCAACCAGCAAAAATACACTTACTTGGGGTAGGGCACATTTCTTATCATGTCATGTGGAAACTGTGGGGGGAGGGGTGAAGGCATTGAATTATTATATGGAGCTATACCTATCTCAGGGCTGAAAAGGACCTTGAGAGGTCATTGAGTCCAGTCCCCTGCCCTCACAGCAGTACCCCTGACAGATTTGCCCCAGATCCCTAAATGGCCCTCTCAAGGATTGAACTCACAACCCTGGGTTTAGCAGGCCAATGCTCAAACCACTGAGCTATCCCTCCAAATTGAAGCAGTGGTCCTTGGGGTTCTCTTTCTAAGCAGCTTCAGTCACACGTGTAAATACTTGCCTTGAAGTAGGCCTCTCAGAGCCTGCCTCATGACTTAAAACAATGGCCTGCTACAGAGTGAGGCCAGCTGTTCTCTCTTGAATGGGGAAAGGGTATTTAGTAGATCAAGGTGAAGCTGTGGATGTTAAAGAGCTAGATAAATTCCTGGAGGGTAGGTCCCTCAATGGCTATTAGCCAGGATAGGCAGGGATGGTGTCTCTAGTCTCTGACAGAGGCTGGGAATGGGTGACAGGAAGGAGTCACTGGATGATTCCCTGTTCTATTCACTCCCTTTGGGGCACCTGGCATTGACCACTCTCAGCGGACAGGACGCTGGGCTAGATGGACTTTTGGTCTGACCCAGTGTGGCTGTTCTGATGTTATGTTCTTATATTGGACTTCCAGTCTCCACAAGCCATGAACTCTGCATGCCCATTTGCAAGTAGGCATGTTTAATATTGGTTAATTGAATAGTCTAGTAACCTCATGAATTCTTATCAGTTACTCAACTCTTTTATAGTCCCCGGGGGTGGGTCTGGCAGACAGTGCACTCCAGCTCCACTCCCGAGGAGCCCCCTGCTACTCCATGCTGTTGTCTCTGGATCAGAGGCAGCAGCGCAGGCTGCCAGGTAGAAGCTGGTCCCCAAGGGGAGCCAGTTTAAAAACCAGCTCCCCTCGCGGACTGGCTGGCTGTCACCCCACGCTGCTGCATCTGATATGGGGTGGCCGCAGCCCCTATCCGGGAAGGCGGTCTGAGCTCCTGAAACTGGCATAAGCCGGAACTGAGGTGAGCTCCCTGCCAGCCTTCCTCCGAATACACTTTAAATGCAGAGCCGCATCGGGGGTAGGTCCCAGACTAAACCAGGACTGAGTTGGACTGCTAGCCAGCCTGCTAAAAAATGTACTGGCCAGAGTCGGGGGGAGAAATGCATGTAGTCTATAGCATTAACCTATAAGCTTTTGCTTATCGGTTAATCGACGACACTGTTACATCCCTATTTGCAATGACACCTGAATTTCTATTATACTTCTGTGAAGGAGGCAGTATCCGACCTAAACTCTTAATTCCCAAGTTTCTCTGGGTATAGGTTGGTCTGTAAAAGTGATCCATGTTTAGGGTGGAATTTTCAAGAGCACTCAGCACTGGCCTATTGGAGTCAGCAGTAAAACTCCATCAGCAAAGGGAGAGTTAAGCAGCACCAAGCGCTTTGATGTAGTTTTTGTGGTTTCAGTTAACTTTCATAATAGTGAAATTGTTGACATGGGAGCCTAGTGGCTTTCATCTGTTGAGCATTTTGCAAAACCCAAAAAAAGCATTCATTTTATATATATATATA